CATGATCTAAGGGTCCTATACAAATGGTCCATCCAACAGCAGATTTTTTTCAAGTGCTCATCAACATTCATCAGGATATTTTGGACCCAAAACAAATGTAAAAGAATTGAAACCATAGAGAGTGTATTCTCTGAGCATAATGGGGTTGAGCTATAAATGCATAACAGAGGCAGAAGGAAAATCTCTGAACATGTGTTAATTAAACAGCATGCTTGTAAATAATCCATGGATGAAAGAGGAATTCACAAAGGAAATGAGAAAAAGGATACCTGACTGAGGAAACAAAAATCCAGCGTAGTAAACTATGTAAAATGCAGCTTTTATAAAAAGGGTGAAAAAAATCTCATAAGTTGAAGTTTTTGCTTCAGGAAACTGAAAAGGCAGGAAAAAAAACTGAAAGCAAGAAGGAAGAAAATAGAGATCAGAGAAGAAATCAGTGAAACTGGAAATAGAAAAATGGCAGAAAAATATAATAAACCTAAAAGCTGGTTCTTAAAAAATTCAACAAAATCAATAATCTCCTGCAAAAGGTTTCATTAATGTCAACAATTAAATTATAACACTAAAGAAAATCTGCAACAAGTAAAGGGATTGTGATTAAATATTAATGTTCATAAATTTGGAGAAATGTTTGAATATTAGAAGAAATGGATCAATTTCTTGAAAGCCTAAAGCTACCAAAAGTCAAAGAACATGAACTAATCTGAATAGTCCTATAGTGATGAAATTAATTGAATTCACAATCCAAAAAAATCCCTGAAAAGGAACCCTTCAGGCCAGGGTATTAGTATTGGAGAATTCTATTAAATATTTAATGTGCATTCAGTATGATATTTACAAAGAACATATGGCAAACCTACTTCATGATGCAAAATGAATTGCTTTCTTCCCGAGATGAGGAGCAAGAAGGTCTACTTTCACTCTTACTCAATATAATATTGGGAATTCTAGATACTCAATAGGGCTTGAAAAAGAAATAAAAGTCATATCAATCTTAAAGGAAGAAATGAACCATTTTTATTTGCAGGTGCTATGACTATGGATAATCCAAAGGAATCTAAAACAAATCTCAGCCTCAATGAGGGTTCAGTGTTGTGTGATACAGGATCAACAAGCAAAGACCAATTGCAATTTTTTAGGTGGTAACAGTGAAGATACAGAAGTCACAATTTAAAAGTGAAATAACATTTATAATCACTGACAACTTAAATTGCTAAGGTATAAATCCAACAGAATTCTTATAGAACTTGTGTTCGGAAAGCTATAAAACACTGATGAGAGAAATCAAGAAGCTCTAATAAATGAAAAAAATGCTGTTTTCATGAATTTTTTTGGGATAGCAAATATATTAGTTTTCCTTAAGTTAATCATAGGTTTGATGTAGTTCTTATGACCATCACAATAGGTTTTTTTAGACATAGACAAACTTATTCTCAAATTTATATGGAAAGCCACAGGACCTAGAATAAGCCAAAACTATCCTGAAAGAGGAATAAGCAGTAGGAATACTATCCAATATTGTCTTGCTCTGTAGCTACAATAATTAAAGATAATATGTTGTGGCATAGGTATAAATATGTAGATTAGTGGAACTCAATAGGAAACCAAGAAATAGACCTATGCAAA